GCCGCCATCCCCGCGGTGTCCCCTCCCCATTGGGGGGGGGGAGCGATCAGGACAGGCCGCTTCTGATGACAGGCGCTCCTTCGCTGGTTGGCACTGCTGACAGAGAAGTCCACCTGAACCAGGTGCTCCTTTATGTGTGGCGGTTCTTTTGCCCCTTTGCCTCCACGAGCCGAGGCCACGCACGCCACCGCTCGTCTCCTGTCCTCACAACAAGCCTGTGGGGACAGCGCGGATCCTGCCAAGAGATTCTGAGAGGCCCAGGGTTGGCCGCTGATCTTCATAGCCAAGGCGGGATTGGAACCTGCGTCTCCTCTTGAATCTTGACAATAAAGGCTATTATTCACCATCATCTTAGAATGGCAGAGCTGGAAGCGATCCTAAGGGATCAAGGAGACCCCATTTGGGGGGGGGGGGGGAATCGAACTCCCAACCTCTGGCCTAGTCTTTTGTGTCCACATGAACGGATGATTCCTCAGTTTTGGTAAACAACAGGTTTCCAGCACTAGACTGTGAATGGTCTTTAATGGTAGGAATCATTTTTTCAGCCGTGCCTTAGTCTCCCCCTTGACACGGCCACGGGGAGATGGGGTTAGGGGGCATAAACTGACCCTCTTGCAGAGGCCAACTGAAAAGGTGTGAGCATATGCTCAGCATGACCTTTGGGAAGAAAAGAGCCGCCCTGGGATAGGAAAGATAGATGGCAGAGGAAAGTCGGCCTCCCCTGCCCTAAACTGTGGCCAATCACTTCTCTTTCTCCTCTCCAGGTTTATGGGGCTCCTAAGCCAAAGTGGACTCAGCTTTCTGGGCGGAGGCTGCAGAACTGGGGTAAAGAATGTGTGTGTGCGTGTGAGTGTGTGTGTCAAGTAAATAGACAATGTTGTGTCAAACCTGGCTGTCCCTGGGAACGCTACCGTGAGACCTGTGGGAAGCAGGAATTCTGCCTGTAAGGCTCGCTCTGTTTTCATCTGATGCTGACAAAGACCTTCTGACCTTCTAGATTCCATTATATATTTTCCAGTTTTGCTTCAAGAAGGCAACAGAGCTCTCACATAGTTTATAAGTCAGTGCTGTAACACTTTGCCTTCCAATCGGCTGGCTGACTTTGCAACCGGGGCGGGGGGGGGGGAAGAACAGTTTGGGTCCCTCTTTAGGGCTTGGCTGGATCATAAGGCGAGAAGGGTGTGGGAAGCTTTTCCCTGAAAACGCCAAGGCAGGGCCTGGAGGGGGGGAGTTCCGCCCTAGCACCTGCTGCTGCCGCCTGTGAACCCTGAAGGCTCCGTGTTGACCGTCATGGGGCAGATCGAGGGCAGAGGAGTCCCCGCCCTGCCGCTTTCTGCCGGCCATGGTCTGCTGAACTGGGGGCTCGTCATTTCCCCACAGGAGGGCTGCCCCACCCAAAGGGGATGGTTCCGGAGATCCTGCCCCCCTGGCTTCGGGCCTACGCCGACAGAGTCTCCTCCCTCGGAGTCTTTGGAGGGAGACGGGCCAACCACGTCCTGGTGAACGAGTATTGCCCTGGGGAAGGCATCCTGGTAAGCTCTCCTGGCCAGGAGGTGCTTGGAGTTGGGAAGCTGGGTGGGCGTCTCTCTCTCTCTCTCCCTCTTAAGGGAGATGAGAGCGGAAAGGGGTGGCAGAAGGGGGGGCTCCTGCTCCTGTCCCCCTTTCCTATGTTTGACGCCCCTCTCCTTCTGCTTCCAGCCCCACGAGGATGGACCCCTGTATTTCCCCACCGTCACCACCATCAGCTTGGGGTCTCACACGCTCCTGGACTTCTACCATCCTGTTAGCAAGGAGCAGCCGCCGGATAGCCAGGAGGGGAAGGTGATCCCGGGA